TGGATAGGCTAAGTGAATTATGTGATTGATTAGTAAATCTGTGAAGTATGTTTGATTTAGCTTTGTTCTACAGCCTCTTAAGGTTGTCCACAGAGACCAAATTCTAGTTTGATTCTCCATACTGTCTCTTTTCTAGCATTTCTAGGCATTGGAGGTATAAATCTGCCTAATTTGGGGAACCAGTTAGCAGACCTATTTGGCTTGCACATGCTTATGAGTGATATGGGTAAGCAACATCAGCCAGCTTACTCTTATCACTAATAAAGTGATATTTCCACTTCCATTCCCTTTGTTTTATCTTCTAAAGTGTTAGGTGCAGCAGAGAGCAATTATGATATGGGAATTTTCAATTAACTGGAAATTTCAATAACTGTTGTCAAGTAACAGATGAATAAGTAAGGTAAGGGCTGAAAAATGAATATGGCAATTAAGAACTAATCATAAACCATTATCTTCCTTCATAAGGTCAACCGTGTTTCTCCAAGGAAGGTGTCTGAATAAGTATCTCCATGATGGGGTGCTATAGTTTGGATATGGTGTGATTGTGTCTTCCTGAAGTAGTTTGTGTTGGAGACTCAGCCCTTAATGTGGTAGTGTGGACCTTTAAGAGGTGGGTGGAGCAGGAGATCCTTAGATGCTTGAGGAATGTTGCCCTTGGAAAGGGTCAAGCATGTATTCACAAGAACAAATGTTATAAGAGCAACTGAATGGGCACGTGAGTAGTTCTCTGGTTGTCTGCTCAGAGAAGTGAGTCCTTGCTTTCACATGCACTCCTACCATGAGCCTGTGAAACTCACAAGAGGCTGAGACAATCTTGACTTTCAGCCTCCAAAACTGTGAGCTAAATAAATCTCTTTTTAGCCTGGGTTTCTACAGAGCCTTCTTATTTAACTACAACCTTAGTCCATTTTTTACTTTTTATTTTGAGACAGAGTCTTGCAGTTTCTCAAACTGGGCTCAGACTTACACTTGTGCTGGAATTATGGGCCTGCAGCACCAATCCTGGCTAAATCTTTTGTTACAGTAATAAAAATTTATGAATGGGGAAGAGGCAACTGTAACTACTGGTGCAATCCCTACCCAAGAGTTCCTAAGAACAGGCCCATGCCATATCAAGAACTTTATTAGCCATGGGATTTTTCAGTTGCAAGGGAAGAAATTTTATTTTAAAATACCTTAGATGAGGATAGCAAGGATTTGTGGAAAGACAAAGAATTAGCAATCACTTAATAAAATATAATAAGTGAATCTATGGTCCTGGATTTCATATGGCATCATTTGTACCCTAACTCATGTCTGTCTTCTAATGTTTTTGCTAAAAGGTGAGATGGGCTTGCTCTGTGTTGTGTCAAGATAGTGAGCAGCAGCAAAACGCCAGGAAAATTTTCATTATTGACTGAAAAGACTGACTTGGTACATATGTCTTTGTGGCAAGGGGAAAAATCACATTACTGACAGCCTTAGCAGGTAAAAAAAAGTCATTTCCTGCAAAGAAAAGATGCACAAAAGGTACATGCTCTTCACTACATTCCACTCCTTGGCTACCTAGTAACCATAACTATCCTTTTTTCTGTATGTAGGGGAAAAGAGGTCTGTAACTAAGGAAAGGCCTCGTTTGGGCTTTCTGGCTAACCCTAACAAGAAAGAGTTAAAGTTTCACTGGAGAGAGCAATTAACAGGACAAGATGGGAGGCAAATAGGCACAGCACAGAGGATACCAGGTGCTTGAAACTAAGGTAGCTGCCCCTCACCCACCTCCAATAAAATGCAAAGAAGATAAGTGGTGGTCATTTAAAAGAAAGCTCTTAATTCATACAGTTAAGTCCCTGACTTATGAATGAGCTCTATTCTGGTAGAATGTAGGTCAGATTTGCTCATAATGTGACAAAGAGAATATTGTACGGTACACCTGTGAAAGTAGCAACTCAAATGTTCATAAGTCAGAGACTTACTGTATGTAAAAACACACACCTATACATCTACACACACAAGTATTCCCACTCTAGGGCCACTGTATGTAGATCCCTTATTTAATTGCTGACTTGACCTTTTTAACAAATCCATTAATTCTAAAGAAAACATTCTGACAGGCTCACTTAATGTGCACATAGACAATGATTCAGGGGCATAGGGGTGTTGGGGCCTGGGACCCATCTATGACAGCCCAGGCAACCAATCAGATTATGACATTCTGGGAAAGAAGAGGGCCTTTGACCTCATATAAAAACAGCTGGAAAAAAAGAAAAAAAAAAAAAAAAAAAAAAAAGGAAAAGCACCTGGGAATGAAGGACCCACAGGGCCTCCATCTTTTTGGAGTTCCCTATTTGGATTTACCAGGGTAGCTATCTATCTCCTCTTTTTTCTCCCTTTCCAAGAAAGTGTCCAATAAAATGTCTTTCTTTCTTTAAACTTTGTATCTTTAATGCCTTACAGATATGGAGTCTACCAATTCCAGTGAGCTGCCTGCCTGCTATGGAACAGTGGTGCTTGTCCCCGGGATGTGACATGTGCATAAAAAAAATTTCTTTTTGTCTTTTTGAAACAGGGTCTCACTATAGTTCAGGCTGGCTTTGAGCTTACTTTGTAGCCTAGGCTGGTTCCAAACCTGCAACGACTTCCTTCCTGCCTCAGCCTTCTGAGTGCTGGGATTACAGGTGTGGGTCATCACATCCAGCCCCTACAATTTTTAATGATAGCCCAAAACAATGTGATTATTGCATGGACAACTGAAATATTCTTTTCTCCAAGAAAATATATGCCAAAGTACCATCTGTTATTGCACTGTTTGTAAACCTAGAGTTCTGATTGATGAGCATTTCTTTTACCCCAGACTGAATATAACTTTTCATAGTACAGCATGATAAAGGTAATTTTATTAAATAGTGTTATGTACTTAACAAGGGAGAGTAAAGGACACCCTAATTCCCTAGGACACAGTATTCTTGGCCATTTAGTTTAATGGTCTTGAGGATGCTCTTTGGTGGCACCCTTTAACCTTGTCCTCATGAGAAGTTTTAAAGGAAGCATACTGTCAAGACAATTCTCTTGAAACCTTTGTTGGTTGCTAGTCACTTTTCTGTTTAATAAATGTGGTTTCAAAACCAAAACCAGAAACAGTGTGTAAATATTGTTTTCTATCTTTTTGCAATGAGTTGGAATGCAATTTCTATCCCCCTGCAAGCTAAATTTATCAGCTAAGATAAATTTAGGAACAATATTGGCCATGTTATCTTTGTCTTCTTGGGCCAAGTTGCATCTCAGTGAACGGTACCTCACAATAGGGCTAACTGGTTAATCTTTGTTGTGTAAAAGAAAAGATACATGAGATGATCAAGGAGCAGACTTTTCCCAGGATTCTAGTGGTATCTGCTCCTGTGTTTCCAACTTTCTGCTTTTGTGCTAACTTTGCTCAGATAAAAAATATGGGTTTTGAGGCTTGCAACACACAGCTTTATTTAACTCAGTGGCAAGGACTATTGGTTACATGCAGAAAGGGGGTGCCTTAGAAAAACAAATCTCTTTTGTTTGCATTCAGATAAAGCTTGAACTGAAGCTCATCCCTTTCTTGTAGGACTTCACTAATGGATACAATTCAAAATGCTAACATTTTTCTACCAATTCCTCCTAAAGCTTCAATCTTAATATTGACATTGCTTAAAATCCAAAATTCAGTGGGTTTTTTCTTCCTTGCAAGCACATAGAATTATACATGCCAAGAATCCTAGCTAGGGCCAAGGAATCTTTATTATTGTGCACCTCACCAAGATTCATTGGTTTTACATTTCAGGGTATTATTTGGTACTGCTTTACATAATACCAGTCAGGAATAAAAACCTCAAACTCTCAAAACTCTCTCTTTTAGTCTTTGCCTTTTAAATTTTGTATCAAAGATTAGGAAATTCCAAATTTGAGGTATTATTAGGCTGTTCTCGAAGAGATGACCCAATTGTAGAAGTAAAATTTTTATCTTCATGGCATTCTCAGAAAGAGATCTGGTCTACTTGTCATCTAAACTTGTTTACATCTTGTAAACTGTTCTCTCAAAGTGATTGTTTTCCCTATGCCCATACCTCTGAACTTGTGGATACTGATGCCCTCTCAGTAGCATTCTTCATTTTGATGGATTCATACCACAACTTCTGCCATGGTTTTGGGTACTCTCTACTGTGGCATGCCTCTGAAAAGCAACTGGATTCTTACTGTGAACCAGAGTTATCTACCTCTTTAGGAATTTTGTATTTTCTTTTAATTCCACCATAGCCCAAGAAGATGCAGAGGTGGAAACAGTTATCAACACTACCTGGTCTTCTCTGCCTATAAATATTACCTTTCCATTTTTACCTGACTGTAGTTGTCCATTTTATGCAAACTTCTAGGAGGAAAGTGGGGTACAGGGCACAAACTACAAGCTTCTGTTTTGAACTTCCAAGTCTTCCAGGAAGTACATATCCTTTACCATCTGGGGGTTCCAGCTCCCAAGAAAGAGCCAGATGTTTTAAATCATCCACTCTTCTGCTTTGTATTATCATTGAAACTGTTTTCCTGTGGTTACTAAATTCTTAGGTTCATTCTACATCATGACCAAAAGCCAAAGGTAGCCTGAGTGTTTGCTTAATTCCAGAGTTAGGTGCTTCTTTCTCAATACTGTTGGCCAAAATAGTGAGACTTTTTATTAGCATTGTTTTTTTTTTTTTCTTTTTTAATCTTCCCATTCTTGTATTACTGTTGTGGAAGGACAAGGCATTTGGCCAGACTGTATCATGAGCCCATTCATGTGGTATGGGAGTTAGGATTAGACAACGAGTGAATGCTCCTGGGGAAAGATGGCAGGTCTGTATTTGTTAGGATAAACTACCACAACATAGTGGCTTGGACTGGAGATGTAGCTCAGTGGTAGAGTTCTTGCCTAGCAAGTGTGACTCCATGGGTCCAATTCCCATTACCACACACACACACACAAATTTTAGTAGTAATTTGACACACAGAGGAACACACAAGAATGTGTAACACAAAGTTTCTAATTGGCAAGCAGCTATTCTTCAAGTGAAGATTCAAGATATCAATCTCCTATGTTACAGCTTCACCGTCTTCAACACATTGCTTCCAAAAAATGTGTTCATTTGCTTCAAGTTGGTGGGGAGTACAGAGATCAAGGAAAATTGTTCACGAGATGTTTTTATGGGCCAGCACTGAAATAGGAACACATCACTTCTCACATTTCATTGGTTAGAACCTAATTTGCACACCCAACCCACATGTGTGTCTCCTGGTAAGAGGCTGGAATATGTAATTCTGTGCCCAGAACAAGAAATTAGTATCTACAATACTCCACTACCTTGCTAATAAATATGTAATTTACCTCTTTTTCCATACATAGACCATTTATTTCAAGGGAGAAAATCTGTCTTCAAATAATGTGCAGCTCTCTTCATTCGATCCAAATGTGACCTATGAGCTAAAAGGACAAAATTATTTCTACTATCACTCTATGTCTCTGCAAACCCAATATATAGTGGCACATTAGGGACAGTAATTACAATACATTCTCTCACATGGAAAAGAAACATGTGAGACACTGTTCAGTACTGATGCACAGCAAGAGTAAAATACTATAAAGCATTTTATGCTATCTCCCCTGAAAGTGGAGGAAGTTTTGATGTGACCCCAATTCTAGAATTCACCAAAAACTCTCTTGTCCATTACTTTATATGGCCTCTGGTAACAGCTTGTGGAATGTTCTTGTCATTCTCTATGGTCACATCCCATGAGTATTCACGAGCTGTTAAGCTTTTCTGTTCTATTTCCTACTTATGTAAATTTGAGGTTGAACAGTTCCCCTACAGTTTTAACAACTTGAAGTGTTTGAGCCAGTTTCATGGTTTAGTCATTAAATTGCTTCAGAAACTTAGGCTTCTGATCTATTGTCTTCTAGCAACTATACCCAAAGTTCTTCCTTATATGCTTCTTTCCTTGATTGACTTTGTTCCCTTGCCCCATGCGTTTGTAGAACTTTATAAAGCTATCTTGAAGCCATCTGAAATTATGACGTTGGTTAGGAAAACCAAAGCCTTGATCTGATCTTTGTTGCACTCCTACATCTTAGTTTACTTAACAGCTCTTCCAGTTTCTTCCATTTTTAACTGTTTTAGGTCTAGAGAAAGTCAGTTTTTTCAACTCTTTCAAACTTTCCTATACACTTTCATTTCTTCCAATTATTTGTGAACTCTTTAGTAAATGCTAAAAGGTAAAATCTAACACACACTGTTACTTTTAATTTTTTCAACGATTTCCTGTGGAGCTAGTCTGAATAACAGGTGATATACTTTTTCAGACATTCTACATGGCACTTTCCCCAATTACTTTCCATTACAAACATGGGTGTTCCTTTTCCAGCCTCCAATTAGGTAGTCTACTGCTGCTTTCTATTGGCTTATTGAAAGGAACAGTTAATGCTTAAAAATTTTTTTGACCAATTTTGCATGCTTGTATTTGGTAATCTGAACAACTAATCTGAAGACAATATGCAATATAATAACCATTGTTCAATGCCTATCATCTTGTTTTGTGAAATTCTGTACCATTTCAAATTTTTTGTCTTTAAAATAAAAAAATTATTTAGAAAAACCCCAAAAACTAGGTACTCTACCACCCACTGAATTGATGCAACATATTTTGTTATTGTCTTAGTAGTACCCAACTTCTGGTACCAATTTTTGTACTAGGTATAGTTTTTCTAGTTCCTGTGACATATAACTTCTCAAAACTTAATTTTCTCTTTTACAAAGGGTCAAGAGGGGTGTTTCCAATTGGGGTAGCTCTTTTCCAAGTGCATTTCAGCCACTCATACTCTTTTTCTTTCTTGACTCTGGCGTCTCTCTCATAAGGTTTTGAAAATATAGGACTTCATTAAGCTGGAAGATAACACTTCACTTCTGTTCATATTTTATTGGATAGAACTCAATCACATGCAAAGTTTGGCTGTGTGCTCAGAATGAAGAATGAAGTTTCACGAAAAAGTTAGATAAAAAGTTACTCATCAAATTCTAATAGCTAGAATTGAGACTTTCTCCATTCTAATACTAGTTTTATTTTACCAGTCTCAACAGGATCATCATTTCACTATCATATAAAAGAATGAAAGTGAAAACTAATTTTCTTCTAAATAATAGAATTATTTTAAGGGAGCATTTTCATAAGGGCATACAAAACCCACGTTACAGAGAGTTGATGAATCAGTGTCATTTAAACAAAAAAGGTAAGAATGTAGACTACGTTTTAAAGAATGCTTGACTGTGAAGGAAATAGGGTGAAAGTTACAGAAGAATAAGCTAAGGAACCAAAATTTGTAGAAGACTATACAGACTGAACAAATAAATCAAAGAGAAAAAGGGGACTAGAACTAGAATACAGATGGAGAGTTAATCTTGTATAGAACATACAGTTTCTCATTCCCGACACTCTCAAAAGGGAAAGACCGGGAAATTTCCAGCGTTTGGAAAATAGAAGAAATTTGTGCTTGTCAGTGGTCTGTTTTCTTGAGAAGTTTGAAGTAAATTCATAATGAAATGGTGCTGGAATTGATTGCAAAAGTGTTTAAGTGAAAAGGAAGGAAAGGTGCTAAAAGACACAAAAATGGGAAGGAGGGATCAAGCTAAAAGTATAGAATCTGTATCTGTAGTGGTTAAGATTTATAACGTGTTGTTTCACACTGAAGTCAGGAAACACTGCAGGAGAGAAATAGGCAGATTATTAGCACTTTGTATGATTTACTGTAGCACTTATTACACGGTAAAGCCCCTGGAAACAGAGTGATTTCTCTATTACGCACAAAATAGGCACATGATAAATTTCCACTTGAATGAATTGATTTAGTCATCGTCAATTCTGCTGAGGTACTCCGTAGAGTCCTGGCAACTGCCCACATTTCATATGGCATGCCAATGCTGAAAGAAAGAAAGAAAGAAAAAAAAAAAAAAAAAAAAAAACCAACCCGGGCACACTTAGCTAAACTTAGCAATCTTAAAATGGCAAGTATGTCAGTTGAGACATACTTTCTATCTTGTGCCAGTATATACATCTGTCTTTGATGTCTGCATTTTCTTTATGCCACTATCCTCGTACTAGACCACAAATGGATACTTCTGAGTTCAATAAGCTATACTAATTTCAAAACCTGAGGCATTTAAAAACGACCTCAGAATCCCATCACAGCATTCACTCCAAGAACTGTGCAGAGACAGCACTCAAAGAGCTGCATTTACGACGCTCGCTTCACAGACACAGCTGTGCCCTGAGAGTGGGTCAGATCCACCAGGGCCAACTGTCCACAAAGTGTGGCACAGATGCCGTTTCCTCTCTGTGGCTGAAGTGATCACCCAGGTCAAACTCCGTATCGCACACGTGTAAAAGTCACGCTCAGCAAGTCTGCGATCCAAGATTCTTCCTGCAGCCCAAGGTTATTTTTCTTTACGGAGACAGTCTCCCGAGACCCAAGCCCCAGCTCTCGGCGCCAGAGGTGACCGGGCAGCAGCTCACCTCGCCGACAGCCTGCGCTCTCCTCCCTCGCCCACCTGGCCTCCGCCAGCCCGTAGCCCGCCGGCCCTCGCCCCTCGCCCCCTAGCCCCGCGCGCCGCCGCTCCGGCGCCTCCTGATGGCGTCACCGCGCTTCCGCCTGCGGCTGCGTTCTAGTCACAAGCCAGGAAGGAAGCAGGGCGGACTGCGGGGCCGTGTGGGGAAGCTGTGAGGACAGAGAAGCCATCGGGCGCTCTTGGCGCCCGGCAGCAGGCCCCGAGTCCGTGCTCGGCCGCCGCCCGCGTTGAAAGCCGGCCGGCGCGCCTCCGCGGAACCCCCAGCGCCCCGCC